GCCGTGGTAACAGCATTAGTGCACAACCTCAATGTACTCACATACCTTCAGTTCTCAACGGTGTACATGAGCTAATAAAAAGATTAAATATAATATATATGATATATGCTTTTGATGATATGAAATGTTACAAGAATTATATGATGATATATTTCTATATGATATGAATTGTATGAAATGATATATGTGTGTTATGAGTCATTGTATCTGTTATAAGAATGAGACATAATATATATGATAAGAGCATAAGAGGTTGTATGAACAAGAGATAAGAAATATGAATGATAATAGTGTATGAATATGATAGAGATCATGATAATGTTGCCATATGTACATGTATGTATTCTGTTATGTGAAATGTTTTATGATTTTTATTATATGTTTATATGCCTTACTAAGTCATCGACTTAGCGTGTGATTATTTCACACGTAGGTTTGGAAAGCGAAAAGACAAGTAAAAAGAAACATGACAACTCAGTTCTCCTTATCTAAGATCAGATCAGAAATGTAAATCGAATTACATGTATTTTGTTAGAAAGAATTTAGTTGGCATGTACTAATATAAAAGATTTGAGTCCGATATGTTTTAATCGGTTTTGTAAAATCATATGATTGAATTTTGTAATGTTTTAAAGGCGTATATGTAAATGGAAATTTTATACGAATGAAAACTATGATTTTTATAAATTTATATGTAATTTTACGGAAGTACTGTAGTAGGGTATCGATTCCCTGTAGCAGGGGAATCGGTTCCCCTATTACAAACTAGAAATTTTAACATTTGGGGGGTACTGTAGCATGTTACTGTTCACAGTACTGTTAATTAATGTTTATACGATACTGTTCACTGTTCATACCGTATTTTACTGTTCACAAATACGTTTTTACCTCAAAATTTTATACCAAACACAATTGAACAATAGACTATCGTATTTTCTTAAAATAAGTTCAAATGTTTTGATATTTTGTACGAATATCGTTTTTAAAAGTCAATGTGACACCTCAGACTCATATTTGGGTCGGATACGGGTTGGGATGTTACAAACAAGGTCAAGAAGCAGTTCACCAGCACCAACCTGATCATCTTTCCCAGTACTATCTGCCATTATCTTTTCCACCTGCAGAGTGGTAGTAGTAGGCTCCTGAAGAGCAAGAACAAATACCTCCTCAATAGAACCTAATTGCAAGCTGGTAGCCCTCTGCATCTCACTACTTGATTGAGCCTTCTGTGTAACAGAAGAAGAGGAAGCCAAAGGCAAGCTAGAGTGGCCAACCAACCCCTCTTTACCAGCATTACCAAAGCGATTGAATTCACATTCTTCCTCTAAAAAGAGTTTCTTAGTTTTCAAGGGGCTTTTAGCACTTCAGCACAGCTACTTGCTAAATGGCCAAAAGTATTACACTGCAAACAAATCTTAGGAAACCAAGTAGCATATACCCTAATTTTTGTAATAGAGTCATCCCTTAAGAATACATGGATCACCTCAGGGATCACTGCCCCAGCTTTAACCTCAACACAAACTTTGGCGAATTTGAGCCTCTCCTTTGAAGCAGTAACATAATCCATATAAAATGGATTGCCCACAACACTAGCTATATAGCTAAGACCTACTAGAGAAAAAAGCTCTAAGGGAACATTGTATAATTGAACCCAGACAGACATGCGTCTCCAATGAATTGCCCAACCACAACACAATCTCATTCAACAATTCCCTCTTCAATTACAGTAATAGGAGGCTTTACAGTAGAAATTCCCTCCAGCACTTCAGGCGGAAAATACTCTAGGGATTGCTCATTCGTTCCTCAAAAAGTTTTCTCTAATCGAGCTCGGAAGACAAGGATTCCATAAAATTCGAGAAAGAATTGAGAAAATAGATCAGTTACGACCAAAATCAAGAAGAAAACCCAGCAATCAGCAGCAAAGAAGACGAAGATCTAAGTCCCCATTAGACCTGCTATCAAGCGCCCAGAGCAGTTCCATCGCAGTTAATCATTCAATTTTTTCAATTAAATCAATATGATCTAACGGGAAATACAAGGAAAGATTAAATCTAGCTACGAAACTTGAACAAAGATAGATACAAACATATTGATCGCATCGGTAAACGAACCACAAAAAAGATTAACCATTAAAAGACCACTGACAAATCGCAAGTCAAACTCGAGCGATATGAAAAGTTATCCACAAATGCAAATTAGGTATCCAAATCCAATCTGAGGGTCCAAAGCAAGGAATATAAACAAGATATCAGATAAGTTTCATCTTGATCAGTCGCGAGGATGTCAAATCAACCCTCATAAAAAAGATAAATGAAAAAACGACCAAAAACATGACAAAAAACGTAGGAAAACGTGTCATAAAGTTTGATGAAAATGTGCAAGACATGCAGACTTATTGAAAAAAAAAGAAAAAAGAAAATAAAGATAAGATATAGAAAAGAAAAAGATAATAAAGAATATCGATGATCGGCAACCGACATTAAAATTGGTACCGTCACCGATCAACAAAGATGAAAAAGAGAGATAAGCGGCACACCAATAAGAGAAAACTAGGTTTTTTTCATGTGAAGAGAAAAATATAACTATGTATAATATTTTTAACACAAATGAATACTCGTATATTAGGATTCACTTACACAATGTAAAACTCTTTTAGTTTTACACAGATTTATGATTGATGGATGATGGAAATAGATGATTGAGATTAACACATTTTTTAAGTGAATATCTTCTCATTTACTATTAATAATTTCAATTGTCTATTTTTACTCATCCAATTATCCTAAATCTATGTAAAATTAAAAGAGTTTTACATTGTGTAAGAGAATATATATATATATATAGTGTCTTTTATCGTTAATTTATTTAAATTTAATTTTCACTTATCATAATGAACTTAAAATAAGACGTTGGATATGATATGCATACATCATATAATATTTTGCAATACATGATATAATTGTTCGAACTATATAAATTGACGGTGTCCAACAAGTATTGTAACAAAACTATAATGTAGTATTTGTTCAATATTTTTTTAATCAATTGATAGCATATACATCATGCAGAGCAACTGTTCAAACTCGGAAGAAAATAACATTCCTTTTATATCTGAGACCACTTGATAAGTTTTTAATTTATTAATTATTAAGTAGATAATTGATGTTTGAACTACATTAACAGAAACAAGTAGGGGTACTTAATGAGTTGAACAACTCGTGAGCAGCTCGAACTCGACTCGATCATAGCTTGGTAAAAACTCAACTCGGATTGACTCGACCTGAGATTTTAACGAGTTGAGTCGAGCAAAGTCCAGCTCAACTTGATAAGTTCACGAGTAACTTATTTATTTTTTAATATAATTTTTAATAGTTATCTTTAAAAAATTATTTCATTAAAAAAATTACTAATTATATATATATATATATATATATATATATATATATATATTGTTAATCCATTAATTTTTAATAAACAACAAAAGAATACTAAATTATTAATTAATATTTTACTACACTCAAAAATAGAATCTTATTTATTATTTTAATGTATTTATGGATTGTTATTTTAGAGTTTAGACTTTGAAATTACTTCACACATTCTTTTGATATTGTTTCCGTTAAATTTATTAATTTATCATTATATTAAGCTCTATATAGTATTAGTAGATTTTACATATAGTTAAGAAAATAAGATGAAAATTTTAGTGAGCTTAATGAGCAACGAGTCGAGCAATAAATTTTTCTTAACGAGCACAAGTCGAGCAAAATTTTAGCGAGCTTAACGAGCAACGATTTGAATAGAGCAACAAAATTTCGGATACCTAAAATTTAAATTTTATGATTTAATATAACTTATTTGATACTTCTACTATATTTATATTTATATATATATATATATATATATATATATATATATTTAATTACTTACATACAATAAATAATTAAATATCCTAATTTTTATTGGGTTAGAGTTTTAATGTGTTACTCGTTTATTGGGCTAAAGGGTATCTAAAATCTAAAAGCTCATATATTTTCAAATTTTCGTATAATCAGAAATTGAAACTTATTTGATATGTATCCAATCTGATTATCCAAAAAAATTCTCGAATATTCAATCTGAATCATCCGAAAATAAAAAAACGAATCGAATATCTAAATTTTCAGATCGGATCACCAGATCGGATCGATCGGACCGGATCACTTTGCACACCCCTACTAGTTGTCAAAAATTTTAATGATTATTATGTATTTTCAAGTTAAACTAAAGGGTAAACTACACATTTAGTATTTAAATTATCAATTTTGATATATTTTAATACTTAAATTTTTTATTTTTTTAAAACCACACTTAACGTTTAGTTTCTATTTCATTTTAATACATAGTCGTTAAAAACTTAATGGACAGGTTGACGGGGCATAGCTCCAATGGACGAACAACCATTTCGAACTATAGACCATGAGAGAATTACGAGTCGATCAACAAGTCTAGTTTCAGACCAATCAAATGGTTGACGATGGAGATCGGAGGGTGAAGAAGTCCAAAAGTTCATCATCGATTTGGGGAGATTGAGGCATTTTTTAGTGAAAATGAGGCCGGAATCACGTTCAATGGGTCAAAAAGGTGTAGGATGGAAAGTTTGGGCTTCCTCGACCGACGGATGCAATCGGCGATGACTGTAGACACGACAGTCGACAAGCCTGTCCGTTAAGTTTTTAATGGCGAGGTACTAAAATTAAATAAAAACTAAAAGTTAGGTATGATTTTGAAAAAAGTGAGTTTAGATATTAAAATGGATAAAAACTGATAGTTCATGTACTAAACACGTAATTTACCCTAAACTAAACTAGCTTGAATTCGAAGGCGCTGCCCAAATTAGCCTAGCGTATCCGTACAACGTGAGATGAAGTAGGGTGTCGTCAAAGATACATGCCATGCTAGTGGTAACGTTATATATAATTGTTTGTGGTTTAGTTTTTGTTGACAAGGGTTGAAAGGAATTGGGACAAAGTCTTTAATTCGATTTATATATACGAATGCGTTGAACACGATATGAACCTAATTTTCCTGGTTCTACCGAAAACATAGAAACTGATGCTCAGCTGCCCATCAGCAAAATGATAATAGTAATAAGTAGCTAGTCTGACCCAGACCCAAAGCAATTTTGTCGGATTTCATAGACGCAAAGGTAGCAAATCTGAATTCAGTGGCTATCTATTTTTACACTAGATCAAGGCGAGTTTAGAAGCTATTATTGCACAGGATTTTCTACCTCGGCTTCTTTGATTCGAGGTCTTTTTGGACTTGATTTAGGGTCACACTCATCAGCATCATGCTTTGATGATGTCGACGACTTGGTTTTGGACTCGAAAGGCTCGGGTTGTGTGGCAACAGAAGAAGGTTGCAGTTGGGAATTTTGGTCGGAATCAGACAAGCTTAGTGAAGGAATCAAGGCATTGCCAGCTTTCTGTTGTTCATCCAAGATCTTCTGCAAATACCTTGCATGCTCCTCTATGCGCAACTGAAGCGACCTTTGTAGCTGAAATGACAGAAATGCATGGCACAACATCAATTTCGTTCAAACAATTGCATGAAAGATGATTAACTAAATAATACCTCCAGCTGTTCATGCAATTGTTTCTGTACTTCCATCTGCATGCGCAAAGCTTCTTTAATTTGCATTCCCCTACACACCAATGGTTAAAAATCATTAAATGCGAAAAGAAAAAAAGAAAACTCTACACCAAATAATGCAGTTACCCTTTTTTCTTTCCATCACTTTCATTGCCACTTGAAGCTGCTTTCTTTTCTTCAGAGCTGAATGAAGTCTTCTTCTCTGAAAAGTTCATGTAAAAGCTTTTGTCAAACATGTGCATTACTAATGACACTAAAAAGAAATCCAAAATTTATTCTACCATTTTTTAAATCATTTCCTGTTTTTTTCACTAATTTAGAAATAATATATGTTTATATAATAAGAATTAAAAAGTAAACGAAAAATAACGAATCCGGTACCTTCCTTTTTCTCTGGCATATATTTGGCAAGTCGATATTTCTGTAAACGTAAAAAGATTGTTAATAAAGATGTAGATCAATACCACTACAAGCAAAAAAAGATCTAACTGAAAACATAGCTTAGCCATTCCGATTCAGTGTGAGCTCGGGATATGGTATGTATCCGGCATAGATATGTTCAAAATTCCCCAAGTTATTTTTACATATTTTAAGGGTCCTTAGATGGGGTACAATCAAGCCAAGACGCAATGTTAGAAGTTCGAGCTCAAGCTTCAATTGAAATTAAAAGTTCATCCTTGAGCCCAATCATGTTTTATTTAAAGCCCAACCTAGTAGAAAAGCATGAGCTTGATTAAACTCGTGAGTTACGCAACTAGCTCGACTTCAGCTTGCTCAATAACTCAAGCTTTTATAGCTCGACTCAACAATGACCGGACTTGATTCAAATTTTCTTTTCCAAGCTGAACCCAAGAACAAGCGTGTGATTTAGATCCTTAATCCTAAGAAGGTCATATTGATGCTTATAGACATATTTATTGAACACAAGCTTCACATGCAAATATTGCAAAAAAATGAAAAGTCGGAGCAAGCAAGATAAGCTTCAGTCAATATAGAATTACTCAAGTACCTGTAAGTGGCTCTTCACATGGTAGATAGTCAAACCTTCAACATTCATAAGCTTTAATACACCTTTTGGAGTTGGCTCTGCCATCATGCATTAACATGAGTTTTTCCTTGCTCTCTTCTTTGACAATGAATTTATTCATGACAATATATGTTGAATGATTCTATTCACTGAATTTCATCACAAAATATTATATAAAATATAAACTAAAACTTAATTATGAAGAACTAAGACATGTTTATTTTTGGAATCTATATTATTTGAACCGAAAACCAACCGAAGTTATTTGACTAGTACTCAAAGAAAATCTGAATGAAACTAAACGAACGCTAAGGTTGAAGTCGGTTTCAGTTTTCTCTGTCTTTCTCCTTACCGAACCATATCAGTGTCTGAAAATGTGTTGAAGAACATCTGAAGAAAAAAAAAAGAGGAGTATGGAACAAGATCTACTTACTTTCAGGGCCATCAAGCTTGCTGACAGCCTGAACAAAATGCTCATGCAGTTCCGGGGTCCATCTCATTCTTGGCTTGTGAACAGCCGCAGCTCCAGAAATTGCAGGAGCATCATTGGATGGTGCAATGGAATTAGGGTTTTGGTCACATTTCAACCCTAGACTTGGCTTTGATGAGGGAGGTTGAGATGTTCCATATATTTCCTAAATTGTCAAGCAATCAGGAAAGGATGTGCAGAAAAGCTATGTCACTTGAACTAGGATGCAAGTGCTAAGACACAATATTTTCAAGTTTTCCAAAAAATCCCATGTACATACAAATATCCTAATATCTGTTGGATATGTATGTCCAACTCAAATACTTCAAAAATAAAATTTGAAAAGTCAGAGAAACATTGGTAAAAAATGTGAATTTGCCTCAACTTTTTCATTTTGTTCTTCTATGTTTTATGTTTCAGGCTTTACTTCAAATACCATTAAAATGAAGAATCATATATGATTCATAAATAAAAGTATTTTCATGTGTTATTTGAGCTTAAGCGCAAGTATTAAGAACGGGTACGAGTAGAATACAAGTATGTTCATTTTTCCTCCAGTTTTTTCATGTATTTGGAGACTTCTTTTAAAATCCCGACATAATTACTTCGAGAAAAATGAAGAGCTTTATCAACATAGGTATTATCAACCTACATTATTCTGAACCATTATTTTTCTTGAAGTGCTCATGTCAGACACGTAGATATGGGAAGTCTCACTGGAAAAACATAGATAATATAATTATACTCGTACCGAACGCGTACTTGTATCCAATACTCGATTCCTGAGTAGTGAGTACCATAGTTATCAACAAATAGATATGAAGAACATACTTACATCAAGTCTGGGATTTTCTCCATGGTCAGTGATAGCAATGTCAAGTTCATCAGACAAAAACTGTAACTCTAATTGTTCACTTGTGATGGAAAAATCGTCACCTTCCCAATGCATACCATAAAAGCAACCATCAGAAGAAGCATCTGCAGGTAAATTACGGATGTCCTTCGTGATAACTTCAGATTGAGCCTTGTTATATAAATTGTTCAAATCCTCACTAAAAACTGACGGAGATTTTGACGAATCGGAGGAAATGAACTGGTGACGTGTGGTAGGATGTGGAAGAAATGGCAAATTACCAAGCTGTCGCTGTGTTTCGGATGCCGACGAAGATGACACATACAAACTGGTACAGAACACAGAAGGAGTTGAAGGTGCAATCTTAGCCTCAGACCTTGGAGAATTTGACGGAAATGGAATTTGGGATGAAGATTCACCAACCATCGAAGATTGACTTTTGGATTCGATACTCGGAAAATTAAGAACCGGGGATGTAGCTTTGGGATATGACTCTACAATTCCCTTGCTAGGTTCACTTTCTGTCACTGAGAGAAAGACGGGGAATCATTGCCTTGGAAGATATCCCAACCTTCATCCTGCTATCAAACTGACAAATACCAGAATATTGCACGAGTCAACAATAAGAATTAAAGATGTTGGATGGAAGTAAGGTGATCAACACCCGGAAATTGTTCAAGATTGCAAACTTGTCACCAAAGGTTACATTCTTCAAAATATTTAGAACTTCAAATAAGATACAGTTCTAATGATCTGCATTCAACCAAAAAAAATAATACAGAAAACAATCTTTTCCCAGAAACACCTAGAAAACACAACAGAATTAACCAATCAGCTTAACAGCATTAAAGAAACCAAGAAAACAAGGATATTCCAGAACTAAAATGTGAATTAACCAAATGCATCAAGCTATAAAATGCATACAAGGGCTCACACCATGATCACTATAAGCATTATGTCTTGGTTGATTGCTATAGACTCGTCATAACCAAGAACAAAGAAAGTTGCAGCAAAAGCTGAGAAGCTATAAAATACATGAATGATACATGAACATGGATTGATATTTTGGTGCCTTTGTGATTAAGGCGGATTTTCACTTTCATTGTTACAGAGGGATTGAACTCTTCACATATAATTCCTTCCCACATGAGATATTGACTTCTATAATCATAAGTCTCAAAGTTTAATCCATTTCATAACCACAGCAGCAGAATTGGGAACCCCTGTTAGGGGGTTCAAGTACTTACAATACAAAAATGAACCTTCTCTTTACAATCATCATCATGATATTGGTTTTATCACTCTCAGCCACCATGTAGCGGCAATCTGTGAATATGTTGTATTGGATACCATGAAACAAATGTCCCCTTTTCAACAATCAAAATTATACAAATACTAGACAGATACCATGATTTCTGAACTAGGAACCAAGTTGCATGTTTCGGTACAGATAAACAGTGTTTGACTGTCCAGCATTAAGGTAACACTATTAAGCGATGCAATCTCCAGTTACATGAACCAGACATATACATTTAAAAGTACTTCTTAATTAATAAGTAGTGGAAATACAACAGGTGCTGAGCACAAGAGACAAACATCAATCATGCATATAAGCAACTCCGAACTGCAAAAGGTTTTTCAGTAGATAAATTTATGGTATAAAATATTTAAGAAGATAAAACAGAATCAGAAGAGAACAGTTCGGAAGTGCATCGGACATGGGATAATAGGAATCTCATGTCTCCAAAGGACCAATAGACCAAAGTTTTCAGTTCATAAATTGACAGAGGAATGATAGCTTTTCCAAAACCTCAGCATTTGCGATCTATATCAATCTAACTCACCATAATTAATCTAAGAAAAAAGAGATACCAAGTGAATTTCACCTATGTAACTCGAACTAAGTTACGAGTTACGGAATGAGTATATATTCAACACAAGTATGGTCAGAAATTTCTAGTTTTTCCCTGTGCCAGGAGAATTCATAGTCAATCTTCAAAGAACCTTGCCAAGATAGATGTTTGTATGCTTAAATCCAATTCGACTATCCACATACAAACAGAAAGTAGTTTGTTAGTATTACTATAATTGCAAAAGCAAATTCAGCAAACAGAAAGTAGTTTGTTAGTATTACTATAATTGCAAAAGCAAATTCAGATGCATAATTGACTGTCCACCTAAATACATCTCTCTAAACCTAAGTTACTTGGACTCGGATAAGATTGTTGGAAAGGAATACGTGCCTGCCACAAGTATGTTCAATTCTTAAGAGATTTCCATGTCCAGATTGCATCGAAAATGAATACTTCAGAAAGAAAAAAAAATGAAGAATTAGAGAAAACAAGAAGAATTCCCAATGTAATAGTAACAAACCAAAATCTTAAAAGTTTAACAGAAAAGACAGATATTAGGCTATTAGCTTCGAAAGATAAGATAGACAATCCAATGACAAAAAAATATCTCACAGAACAAAGGAAAACCCAACAAAATTAAAAGCTTCGAAAAAAGAAGGGTTAAATCAAAACCCATATTTGTTATTAAGTCCCCCTAGATTATGCACATCCATTTTTAGCCAGATTCCAGACCAAGACAACTAAAATAAACATCAGCAGCGACACAAACATATGCATACATGTATAAGAAAAAATACAATTAAAAGATTGAAAAAAAACCCATAGAGATTGTACTTGTTGAAGTTGAATCCTTGTAGACAAAATGAATTCTGGTTCAGTTTATGACAAAACAGATCTTAGAAAACATCGAGATAAGAACATAAGTAATCAAAATGCTTAAACGCCACCTAGTTTATAGCTTTCGTATGAAATGATGACGTGAATGCCAACGGCAAAGACGTAATGAGGTGAAAGAGGCAAATCCTTTTCTTCTTCTTCTTGTAAATGATTTGGCTGCGCTCAATCAGCATTACTAGTTTTTTTTTTTTTGTAAAGAAAAATAGGAAAATGAATGATTGATAATACATCAGCATGATCTTTTTACGCGCCTTTTTTTGGAAGTTGAAATGCACGTACCGATGAGGTGCAATGTTTGGTATGATGGTAATCATGTATTAAATTATACAGGTGTTGATGCTGACATCAATTTTCCCTTTTCTTTATTCTTTATTCTGAATCTCAGATTTTAAGTTTTAAGGTTGGCGTGAGATGAGATCACTACAACTCGGTCGAATATTTTTTTTAAAATTAAATTCTCCATTGCTTGATTTTTAATTTCCCTAATCATTTTGTTTTGTCTCTTTATTAAATTTTAATAGTAAAATACTTTTATTTTAGGTTTAATATAAAAATAAGTTTCTAAATTTTATCTTAAAAAATATTTTAGTGCCTAATTTTTTTTTGCTAAAATTAAGTACCTAATGTTTTCATAGGAGCAATTTTAGGTGCCTATAACGTAACGGCCGTTAAATTTGGTTGTTAGATGACATATGTCGAGTATTGTTCATTTTGAGAATTTATTTTAAAAAATAAAAATATTTTTTATTAAAAAATAGCCCGCATGCTCACTGCTCCCCTCGATTTCCCCCCTTTTCCCTTCCTACTTTCCCCGGCCATCCATGACAGTCACCATCATTGTCACCGTCACCTTCGTTAGCACCAACATCGACTCCTGATCAAACCCTCGTTGGCATTTCACCGTAAGTTGTCACCTTTTGCCGTAGAGAATCGTTCAAAGGTTTGTCGAATTTTAAGCCAACGTCGTTTTTTTCGTCGATTCCGAATATCTCAATGTTCATATGTCACGCCGTTACCACCATTTGAACCATCGTGTAATTCGGCTCAAAACCCATAATCGTGGAGACTAAAATTTTAAAGGTTTATGGATTTGGATATTAGGGATTTTAGAGATTAGGGGTTTTGGGTGATGGTAAGGGCGATGTTTGATCGATGGGTGGACGACGACGGTTGGTGATCGTTCGACAATGATGATGGTGGCCGGAGATTACCGTCGACGGTTGGTAACGAGATTGAAATGAGAGATTTTAATTTTTTTAGATTTTTTATTGTTTCATTAAAAGTTTGGGTTCTTTATAAAAAACTAATTTTTTTTAATTTTTTTTTTCATTAAAAATAATATTTTTATTATTAAAAAATTAAAAAAAATATGACAGTAAGACCTAAAATTATAATTGAGAAAACGCTAGACACCAAATCATTTTTTAAGGTAAAATTTAGGCACTTATTTTTGTATTAAACCATTATTTTATAGCTTTTATGTTTTCAAAGTTTTTACATAAATACTTTTAAAAATTTTCTTTTTTAAAGTAATATAATATAAGTAGTAATTTTAATTTATTATTTTTAATTTATTATGATGTTTACATCATAAAAATAAAATTTAAATTAAATAACCGTAATTTTAAAATTTATAAACAATATTTTACAAACATTATAATTCTGTTACCAATAATGATTGATGCCATGTGATATTAAACAAATATTTTAATCTAATTGAATAAATAATATTTTTTTTATAAAAAATGATTTATATTTATTATACATACATATATATATATATATATATATATATATATATTTACTAATAAAAATGTTAGATTTGATTTTCGATGTGATGGCGTTTTATAGGAATTTCGTATGATAATTCTAATCGAAAATTTTAGTTTTAAATTAAATATATATTTTTAAAAGTGAATTAATTCTATTTAAATGTTGAACACATCTCCCTTTTATTTTATTTTTTATAAATACAATTGCACGCAAACAATTGAGATTTGTTTATAAAATATTATCTAATATATAAATTGTATAAAAAATATCTATTTTAATATTAGATTTAAGGTTTAGAATTTAATATATTAAGTTTTAAGACTAAATTTAAAATGAAAATAAATATATTTTATAAGATAAATTTCACGTAAATTAGTAATCTATATATCAAATATACGCACTTCATTTATATAGTGTGCATTGCTTTGTTCTATAGGATTGTATTCTCTTTTATTCTTTTATATAAAAAATTAGAGGTCGTTATCTTTTTTGCCAAAATCAAGCAATACGATAGTAAGACTCATACTAAGTCAAACATTATGAGTTTCAATTTCATACGGAAAATAACTAAAACTATTTATTTTCCCTGTCTTATTAAATATATACTTTATTCATTTTTTGTCAATTTTTTTAAAATTTGATTTATTATTGATAAAAATATTTCAAAAATTTTAATTTTTAAAAAAACTAATAAAGAACAAATTTAATGGAATGGTGGAATATTAAGTTTTGAAAAAATTTAAAAGTTTAGGTATTAAAATAGACTAAAACTGATAGTTTAAATACTAAACACATTAAGTTTTTAATAGCGGGTACCAGTGGCAGATCCAGATATTTAAAAAATGGAGATTCAAAATTTTAATTTTCTTTTTTAAAAATAATTGGGTATGCAAATTCTTTTTTTTTTTTTTTCTACTTAACACATTAAACTAAATTTAACTATTTTCCTAAATAATGAGGATGGATTTAGCCCCTATGAGGGCTTAGTGTATCCGCTTTGACGGGTACTAAAATAAAACAAAAATTATATTATATATGATTTAAAAAAAATTAAAATTAAATACGAAAA